AAAGAAGGTCGGCGCAAGTAAAGGAAAGGAACTGTGGAACGTGCGGCAAGGTAGGGCATAATGCGAGAACGTGTCAAATAGTTGTTTCGATGTCTGGAGAAGAGGAAAGCGATTAGTTTTACTTGATTGCGTGATTTGTTGTGTTCTCATGACGATTCCTGTCTCAAGGGTTAAGATTTTTGTAACACTCGCTTGTTTGTAACACTCGCTTATCATGTACGTTAGTGCAAGATAAATAATACATTAACAGTATCTGACTTTCGTCGGTGAATATCGCTTTGCCAAGGCACGTTCATGCACTCCGCGAAAAGAACGCCCTCCTATGACAGAAACGGTTACCCTGCCCAGAAATGCATTTGTAATCTCCGATGATGAATCTACCAAAGTGGAGTGCGATCGCGGAGACCTGCGATTCTGATGCACCTTTTTGGGTTAATCACATTTTGGGGTGCAATACCCGGCGTCGGATCGTGTATCCGACATCAGTCTTTTTTTCCACCGTTTCTCATTTTCAATCCTTTCTTGGCAAAATCAGGCCTTTTCTTTCGAGATTTACTGTACTGTGAGTTACAGTGTAGTTGGTGAGGAAGTCAAGACAAGCGACCATGTCTTCGCCGGAAAAGACTGCCGAAGCGACGGCGGCGAGTGAGCCACAGACCGCCACAGCGAATGCGCCCTCTGTGTTGGACAACGAATCAGCGGTTGTTGACATTGAGAAGAGTTTCGCAGCTTGGGTATGTGTCTTTGGAAGCTTTTTGTTTTTGATGCCCACATATGGTAAGTCCAGCGCCACTTCAGCCCTATTACCCGTCATTCACATCTTCTAGGCATGATGCAGTCTGTCGGAACGTTCCAATCTTACCTCGAGTTAAATCAGCTCTCCGATTACTCAGCCGGCGATATTGGCTGGATCCCCGGCATGTACATGTTTGTATCAATGCTAGTTGCCATTCAAGTTGGCTCTTTTCTTGACCAGCGCGGTCCTTTCGCTATGAGCATTGTTGGGGGAGGCGGCATCGTTATTATGTTCGTTCTGCTAGCTGAGTGCAAAAAGTACTGGCACTTTATGCTGTGCTTTGGAATTTTCGGTGGGCTATCGACTGCTATTGCTGGCACTATCCCCGTAGCAGTGGTCGCAAAGCTCTTTTCACGGAAGCGCGGTTTCGCTATCGGAATAGCCCTCACTGGTTCATCGACCGGAACAGTCATCTTCCCCATTATGCTTCGATCACTGCTCCCAAAGCTGGGCTGGAGCTGGTCAATGAGAATACTTGCCTTCGTCATTCTCGGTATCTTCACTCTTGGAACAATCTGCTTCATTCCTTACCGTCGGCTTGTCAAGCTCGTCAACATGCCGATAGCCAAGAAAGGCGGTCTCTCTCTTCTCAACTTCTCTGCCTTCCGGTCTGTGGCTTTTACGCTGGTTTGTGTAATGTTCTTCGCTACTCAGTTCGTTCTTTATGGAATCGGTGGCCTGTTGCCGACTTTTGCGATCCAGGCTGGTTTGACGGCCGAAACTGGCTACACCCTGGTCTCAATCATCGGCGGTGCTTCGGCTTTCGGTCGTGTCATACCGGGCTTGATTGGTGACAAGCTAGGCCATTACAATGTTTTGATATTTATGATGGCATTGACGTTGGTCTTTATGGGTACACTCTTTGTCCCCTTTGGCGACAACAGCGTCGTGCTCTACGTGTTCACAGGTATCTGGGGTTTTTGTTCCGGGGGTTTCTTATCTATAACTCCAGGTAAGAGTCGTCTCCAGTGATGAGAAGAAAAGCATCGCTAACAATTTTAGTATGTGTCGGCAAGACATGCGAGCCAAAAGATTACGGACGATATTACGGTATGAGCCCCGGCTTGTTTTAGATATTGCCTCGCTAATCAGCTTGCAGGAACCATGAATTTCGTCATCAGCTTCTCTTTACTTATTGCCATTCCAAGTAGCGGCACAATGATAGACAAGATGGGAACTCAAGCTCTGAGCGGCTTTCTGATGGGAGTTTTAGCTCTAGGCCTGGGCTGCTTGTTTGCATCACGGGCCGTCCTGGTGGGAAACTGGTTTGGAATCAAGACCGAAATTTAAAACGGCTATAGGGATACATCGGAAAAGAGACAGCTTTAGACATTAAAATGGCGTATGAATAGATTAAGCTTGAGTTTCACATCATTGCTCTTGACTCGAGTTTCTTATATCAGTCCACGGAACAGGAACTTCTAAGCCCGGGTCATACAATGGTGCTCGCCTTCGTTGCGACAATCTTAGTAACCGAGGCTCCAAGATGATATTATTACGAGCCACAACCTCTGCCGACACATTCCGATCCGTGTCTCCTTCATTTAGGAGGAGAAGCGCCAGCTCAGGCCGATGTTTCCTGACATCAAACGTTGTGATATAACCCTGTGGCTCTCCGGTTTTATTCGCATCACAGAATGCATCGACCGGGAAAAGCCAAAAGCCAAAGGCTGGCCTCACAGCCTTGGTTATGTCTTCATCCCGAGATTCTGTGGGTTCTGAAGCAACTCTCTCTATTTGTGGTTCCTGAGAAGGCCATGTACTTCCAGGCTTTGCCACCCATCCATTACCTTCCCATTGCAACCAATCCTCGGCGTCCCTGAGGTTACATATCGTTCGACGAGGATTGAATGCAAGTAAAAGACGGTATCGTTCTTCACATGGCTTTACTTCTATCCTTTCTAAAACTTGCAGCCATGAGTCATATAAACGCTTGGGATTGCGGACGTGAAGGTGGCTCAGATCGTCTTCGACAGTGCGAGGATCAAGCCCAATACGCTCGAAGCTGTGTGGCGTAGCGTGAATGGGAACTGACCTTTCGAAGAACGTCTTGCGGACTGCTGGCCATTCATTTTCACCACCAATCAGCTGCCGAATGGATTCCTGGATAGAAATCAACCAAACCTCATCAAGACCACTGATGATTTCTCTGAATATCCTCATCTTTGAGGATTCAATATCGGCTGGCCTCATTGCATGGAGACCGGATGGACGTCCTCCCAGCTGATTGCTACAAAGTGCAAGATTTCTGATACCAACGTTACGTGGATCATGCTTTATCTTTAAATCGCACACAAATTCCACGGTAGCCATCGTGTCCTCCTGTATATGAAGAAAGTCATATTCAGGGTTGATATAGGTCGTTCCAGAAGTCCAGAGGCCATAATTGTCTTCTCTGTCCGCAAACCAGCAGGGGATGTGAACCCTATGAAAAGACAGCACTGCCTCTCTGGATTCTGTATTGACTCTGAGAAGCTTGCTGAGGAGTCGGTGGCCGTCGACAACTGGATAGTACGTAGGATCATCCCTCCCAGGTTCTAGCGGAGGAAAGTGAATACCATTCCTAGTACGGTTTCCGCAAAATCCGGCGTGCGAACGGAGAAATATCTTGATGATTCTTTGGTGTCGGAGAGCCCATGTCCATATTGAAACTCGTATCTCTGCTGGAAGTGAGGGGAACAGGGTGAATGAGGATGGCCCTGCAACGTTAGCCCCTCGGTTGAAGATTTCTGAATGACTCTGAGGCATTGTATAATATGTGAAAGATATAACCTCTCAACCCTCTTCGAGGGAACTTGATGTGATTTTGACTGTGTTTATTTATGCCACGTGTGACTTCGTCAGTGGCCACGTCTGGGAGATTAAGGCTTCTTATACCCCAGCAGCTGCCAATAAGGTTACTGATTAAGTCATCATAAAAGCATATTATTCTGATTTTAATTAGGAGACTTATCTTTGTGGAGGCTATATGTATATTGCCTTTAGAAGCCTAAAGTTAATTGGTATTTTTCAGTGTGTTGGCTTGATATATCTCGTTGAGATATCATAAGCTTTAACTATCAATCAATATAACCTCTCAAAAGAAGCGGCGTATGGGAGGATGTTGGCAGTGGAGTATGCTGAAAGTCGTGAGATTGCTGGCAGTCATTCACGCTGACGGTCGGACAAGGGTCCCGCGGGAAGACCTTTGGCCGTGGCGCAGCCAAGCACGGACGACAACAGGGTTACGGTTTTGGCAGCTGCTAAGTGTTGTCTACCAATCATAATGATACTCGTGTAATTGGTCTAGAGTAGCTAGTCCAAAGGATGCACGGAGTCGGCAGGGGCATGTGGCCAGCTGAAGAGAAGATGTCTCTTGGTGAAAACATGATGGGTCGAAGCAACCAACAACGTAAAAATCGGAAGGTTAATGTATAATCTATCATAACATGGTATAAAACAATTCGCTACGTCAAAGATAATCACGGCCCAAAGCACCCCAACCTCTAGCTCTCCCTCTCACAAGCCCCATATCATCCATATTAAGGATTCCAATACCATTGTCTATCAACACCCTCCAGGCGATATCCCTCACATTCGGTGGCTTTGAAGGCGTATCCCAGTACCGCGCCAACAGGCCACGAGCCTTGGCCTGCTCAATCTGCGTCAACGCCATGTCAAGTTCTCTTGACGGCGGTGTATCCAGAACGCGCTGGAAGTTTGATCTGTAGAGAATAGCGTTCTCAAATCTCGTTGATGCAAAGTATGAGTTGGAGCGGTTGAATTTGTAGGTAGGAGGGTTTGTTGAGAAGTCATCGTCCATTGAGACGAGACGCTCAAGCTTGGCGTCCCAGAAAATGTCGCGATGTGTAGAGTTCATAGCCAGAACGGACTCGAATGGAGTGTTTCCGGTTCCGACTACAGTGAGAGGTCGGATGATTCTCTCTGTGCCGTTCCAGTATGTCAAGTAGCCGAGGTCTCTCAAAGGCTGGAGCTGGGCGTTTAACGCATCGAACGTTTCTGGGCCAGCTGTTTTGAGATCAACGAGGAGCGTGACGGTTTGCTTGGGTGCCAGTTCGAAAAAGCCTTGCCAGTCATCAATCTTCACTCCAGCGTTCCGTGCCTCCAACATGCGCTGTAGGGGCTTCAGGTACAAGCCCTGTAACGTTCGGTGAGGATTCACGCTCAATCGCGAATGCGCAACGAAAAGGTTGCCATGTCGTAGATGAACATCTGCTTCGATGCTGATACACCCAGAGCCGAGGGCTTCAAATAGTGGGATATGCCGTGTGTAATCATTGTGCGAGTGGATCGGTACAGGACGAGCGCTTCGGAGGAATGATTGATGGTTATCGTCCCAGATTTCAGGACTGTCGTGACTGAGGTGGCCGAATCGTAAATCGTAGGGATCGTTTGGTATACGGACCATTCCCGTGCCGAGGCGGGTGATGTAGATTAACTGGCTGATGGACCTGCAGACCCATGAGCAAGGACCCTGAAAATGTTTGGCGAATGACTTACAGTATGAGCAACAAACCCGTAGCATACTTGAGCCAATTCGTCCTGATGTGTCGCACAAAAATGACCCTGGGAGGATGTCTCCTCACGATAACCTCCTCCGACGAACTCGCATCATTGTAAGTAAGCCTCGACTCCATGATATATCCCTCGCGCAGAGTCTACAGTCTCTCAAATCCGAGGAACGAAAAAGAGGGGTCCAACGGGGTAATAATTATACCCACCACGCCCATCTCAACAGCGCTACCGAGTTTCAAGGGATTTAGTGGTTAGGCACTTTTTCTCGGGTGCTACCCGACCAGGTTAGTTGCGGTGGGCAGGTTTACGCTTCCACCAATAGAAGCGACCGAGATTGGTCGAGACACGTTCTGGACCTACAACGCCGCGGGTTTTCTCATGTCACGATAGTGCCATTTTGGCGCTACCGTTATACGGCTGCGCCTTTTGACAAGCGTAAGCACGGCACGGTTTATGTGACGGGATAGGGGCCATGGAGGTGGCTTTTTTGTCGTTGGTGATTGAGTTTGCTGGACGCGTCAACAGCGGATGGGAGGATTCGAGGCAGCAGAATAAACATCAGGGAGTTTTGGAAAAGGTACTTGAGCCTCAGCTGAGACAACGTGGTTTAGACGAGTACTCCCGGAGGTTTCTGTTTCAAGCTGCTCACACTAGACACGTTAGAATCATGTTTTGTTGGTGCAGCTCCCGGGAATTCGGCACAACGCCCTCGACGTTTGGAACTTTGACCTCCGACTCGGACCCGGAGTTGCATTGCACTCGGTCGGAGCGCCAGTTTTCCGTCGGCAATTGGGCTTGTACGTCACGTCTCTGAGTATATTTGATATTTAACTTTAAGTAACAGTATCATAAAGCTTCTCTCGTCGACATGGAAGAAGAAATGATCCTTCTCCTTCGCCTGTGATGAACCTGCAGGGCTGTGCTCGTAAATCGCTAAGTTCGCCCAAGTGGGGCGACCCATGTAGCACATCATGGCTGTCACGGCTTTGGATTTATTTATACGAAAGCTTATTAGAGATTGGTCCGCCCGCGGAATGCGTCGTGTCAGTCTGTGAAAGGGATGCTTGGAAAAGACTCTACGGCTACGTCATCTCTGATATGCAACGTCGTGATGTAATTTGACGCGTCTCGATCTCGCTCTTTCATTTCCAGTTTCGGCCTGGCTCACTTGGGCTGTTGAAGCAAGTCATGCCAGCTTCATTCTCTGTGAGATCTCGTGGAACCGGAGATTTTGATATCATCTCAAGATAAAGAAACTAATTAGAGCCGGGTCCATCACCTGAACAAGACAGGATGAAATGCTTGAAGGAATGCCGCTGGTATGTAATACATGTCGTACGTTATCGTAAAAATAGCAAAGAACATAGACGAGGGACACAAAGGTCACTGTTTTAGGTTTTGAGATAAGATATGCCATTATACTATCATACGTGATTATGTTTTTCCCATCAAGTATTGTTCTGGCTTCATGGTATGAGACCAGCTCTAATGTTGTTTCGGAGCAAAGCATAAAGCTTCGCCTTACCCTGTAGAGCTGTCCTCGCGGCGGTCAGGGGCAAGGCCAACGTGTTCTAGACTCCACCGAAATTAGTTTCTCCATTTCTTGCGTGATGGTCTAGAACAGCGAAAAATATCTCAGGCGTTGGACGGACTCATGCAAAGCGTTGAGCTAAAGGGTCATGGTCTGATCACCTGCTATTTCCTGTCACGAGCAAGTCGGATCGAAACCCCATCTATCATCTGGAGTACCCCGGACCCCATCTCATGCAGAACCTCGGCTTGTTATCTTATCTGATCGGATCGGGAAGAATAAATATGCGGAATGTCCGTCGGACTTTATGCCGTTCTCGGCCTCATTGTGACCATCGTTTGGAGACGAGATCGCGGCACAGTTCAAGCACAGAAGGGACAGAAATTACAAGAAAACAGGAACAAACATTCTGGTATACTTCAGACCACAAAATCTAATATTGCACGTTATCATGACTTCTTTCATCATCTATCAGCTACCGACATACCGAGGCACCCTCTAATAGCGTCGTCGTCATGGTCCACTTTTTAAAAGAGCCGAGGTATCCAAGTCTTAGCCTCATCGATTTTCCGACATCGCTTGGACCGAGCGACGCCCCATAAAGTTCAAACTCCCCTTAATCTAAACATTCCATCATCAACCTCTCCTCCTCCCTCTCACCAAAATCCGGGGTAAAACCACATCCACACCAACAATGCCTCCGCAAAATCCAGACTGGGTCAAGGCCCTCAAGCCCTCCGGCCCCCAGGGGTCAGAGCTTCTGGCCCAAGAACGCGCCAAGTCTGACATCAACGTGGACCAACTGGCAGAGTTCCTCTTCACAAAAGAAGTCCTCCAGAGGAACGACAAGATTCTCAAGCTTCTCCAGGCTGATCCTGTTTTTGACAAGGAGCAGAACTACTTCAGGGGGCGAACAGATAGACTTGAGGCTGCGCTTGCTAGAGGTAAGGCTTTGAGGAGATTATCTGTCAAGCACAACTGGAATGATGAGGAGCACCACGCTGCCAACGATCTCATCAGCGAACCTACGCCTTATGGTCTTCATGCCACTATGTTCTTGAAGACGCTTGAGGAGCAGGGTACACCAGCGCAGCATAAGCTGTTCCTTGAGAAGGCGAGAAACTATGAGATCATCGGATGCTACGCCCAAACTGAATTGGGTCACGGTTCTAATGTTCGAGGTCTTGAGACCACTGCTACTTGGAACCACGAGGACAAGACCTTTACTATTCACTCCCCTCACCTCACAGCCTCAAAGTGGTGGATTGGTTCTCTGGGCAAGGCTGCCAACCACGCTGTCGTCGTCGCGCAGCTTATCCTCAACGGCAAGCCTTACGGTCCTCATCCCTTCGTCGTCCCCATTCGCGACATGAAGACCCATGAGCCTCTTCCCGATATCCACGTTGGAGATATCGGTCCCAAGTTCGGTTACAACACCATGGACAACGGCTTCCTGCTCTTCAATAATGTCAAGATTCCTCACGTCAACATGCTGAACCGCTTCTCTGGTGTTGACCCCGAGACCGGAAAGTACATCCGCCCCTCAAATCCAGCTCTCATTTACGGAACCTTGACTTTCATCCGATCATCCATCGTCTTCCAGTCCGGGTCCGTTCTTGCTCGTGGTGTCACTATCGCTACGCGTTACTGCGCTGTTCGCCGACAGTTCCAGGACCGTGATGCTGATGCTAGCGAGACTGGTGAGAACCAGGTTCTCAACTACACAATGGTTCAGCACCGTCTTCTCCCTCTTCTGGCTTCTTCATATGCGCTGTTCTTCACTGGCCGCGCTATGATTAACCTCTACAACGCCAACCAGAAGCGCATGGCTCAACGCCGTGATGCTGGCGACGCTAAGCGCAAGCCTGGTCCTGAGGAGCTCAGCCCCGGCAGCGATCACCTTGCTGATCTCCACGCCATCTCCTGCTCCCTCAAGGCCTTTGCTTCCACCACCGCTGCTGAGGGTCTGGAAGTCTGCCGTCGCGCTTGTGGTGGCCACGGCTACTCCGCCTTCTCCGGTATTGGCAGCTGGTACGCTGATTATCTTCCTACTGTCACATGGGAGGGTGACAACTACATGCTTACCCAGCAAGTCGCCCGATATCTCCTCAAGTCAGCCCGCGCTGTCCTTGCCGGCAAGGCTCCCGATAACGGTATCTCTCGTATCTTCAAGGAGTTCATCCGCCGACAGGACATTGGTGCTGCTTTCGACGTTCTCGACAGCGATCAAGACCTCGTTGATGCTTTCGCATGGCGTGTGTCTTTCCTGACCTTTGAGGCTCTTAAGCACCGTGATGAGGAAAAGCAATCCTGGAACAGCCTCCTCATTGACTTCTGGCGCCTGTCCACCGCATATGCTCAGTACCAAGTCGTCAAGAACTTCCACGAAGCTCTCCAAGACGAAGCCACCAAGAAGTCCCTCGACCCCAACACCCTCGCCATCATGCACAAGCTCTTTGAGCTCTTCGCTCTGCATAACCTCCAGAGCTCCGCCTCCGAGTTCTTTACCAGCGCCGCCACAACAGTTCGCCAAATCCAACTCGCTCGCACAAAGCGAACACTCTCCCTACTCGATGAGATCCGACCTCACGCCGTGAGACTTGTCGATGCTTGGTCATTCCCTGATTGGCAACTTGACAGTGCCCTTGGTCGTCACGACGGCAAGGTCTACGAGGACTTGTTCCATCGTGCTTCCGAGGTCAACCCTGTCAACGACATTGTGTTTGATCCTTATCCTGAGTCAGATGTGCTGTTCCGTAAGAATGGCAGTGGTCCTAAGGCGAAGTTGTAAGAGAGCGCTTGATACCTGTACTCTAAAATAGTATTACCTAGTCTTTTGTATTGTTTTTTATATATAGATAGAAGAATATGAGCCTGCTTATGCTTATTTTCGATCCTTGTTAGTGTATGATGATCTTGTCTATGCCGCGTAAGATTGGTGTCGGTGATCATCTCCGTGGACATCTCCGCGGAATAAGTGTGAGGAGCTGTCAGCTTGCTATCCGCAGAGCTGAGCCTCTGCACGGTCTTGGTATATCGGCCAATCAAGCGTACAATGTACTTGCTATACTGGGATTCAAGTCTTGTATAAATGCTTTTCGATTCTCTTGCTGCCATGGGAAGCCACAGACTAACACAAACTCGTCACCTTCTTCGCCATTTTCACTATATTCAACATGCGTCGAACCATTTTCTCCATTGCTGCTGCAGCGCTACTGTCGCTGGTGCAAGGCAAGCTTCAGTACTTGTAACTATCCAAAGCTTTGGTACTAACAGACTCCAGCCCAAAACAACACTGCTCGTAACATGACCGAGCCCGAGATCATGGAGTTCCTTGAAGGAATAGCCGATGGATTCCGGATCTGGCCCGAAGCACCTCTGTACCATCGCCCCGACGAGCTGAACCTTGAGTACGAAACCGTGACATTCCCATCAGAGGACGGCGTGTCTCTAGAAGGATGGTTCTTCCCATGCAATGGATCCAAAAAGATCATCATCATGAATCATCCTCGTCTTTTCAACAGGGCTGGCCTTCCATCCCATATTGAACCATGGAACTCGTTGACTGCTCCATTGGGAAACAACATTGACGTTAATTTCATCCCCGACTACAAGATCCTTCACGACGCTGGATTTAACGTGCTTACCCATGACTTCCGAAACTACGGCATGAGTGGGAGGGGCAATAATGTTCTCTACTCTGGAGGACGTTATGAATCTTGCGATGTCATTGGTGCCCTTCGCTATGTCCGTGAGCGCAATGACACCAAAGACATGACTATCGGCCTATTTTCAAGATGCATGGGGGGAAGCGCAACCTTTTTCGCCATGGGAAAACACCCTGAAGAATTTAAAGACATCCGGACCATTGTCTTTCCTCAGCCGATCCCAGCCAACATGAGAAGTCGGGTAACTCTTCAAGCTGCTGGTATCGACCTTGACTACCTCAAAGAACTAGACGATATGGTCTACTGGAGAATATCTCTTCGCCTGGAAGAGTACTCTCCTATCCCTTGGACCAGGAACGTCAAAATCCCGACATACATGTTCCAGGTTCGCAATGATCTTGCGACTCATTGGTCGGATGTTCAGGATGTCTTTGATGCCATTCCTGCTAAGGATAAGGAGCTTTTCTGGATTAATGGGACGACTCGAAGATGGGACGGTTACCTACACTTTCAACGTCACCCTGAAGCGATCCTCAAGTGGCTTGAGCGGTGGATGAACTAAGTCCTGGGTGCTTACGATTTTGAACTCAAAATTATTTCTACAGTTGCTGTGTTACTCTAGGTAGTATCTGTTCTCTACATAGATAGTCATACATATTAGTAAAAGCACACAGTGTCTAGTAAGATCCTTGAAATCAACGCAAACTGCTGTATCAGTGAGAGCGATGATTACGCTATGCTATGTTCTGCATCCAGCGTCTGTGAACCTCAACATTTGTTTCACTTTGTTATCGCTTCACTCAATTTACCGGCTATTCCTCACATAGCTTAGTTTCGGCTAGGACGGGATGACATGGCGAATGTGACTGGTTCGTTGCCACCGCATTTACACAGCAGCAGAAATGCTACTAATTATAGCACGACTGAGCTCCAGGCAACTCTCCTCCCAACATATTTTATGCAACGTCATCCTTCAAACCCCAGGCGAAATCAACAATTCCTCGCTCCTCAACTTCGACATCCTGGATCAACTGCACCACAATGGCCACCGACAGACAGCCTGAGATTATCTTGTACGATCTTGCATGTATCAAGAACACATGCTTCTCGCCCGTCGTTTGGAAGATCCGCTTGATGCTCAACTACAAGAACATTCCTTACCAGACCATCTTCCTCGAATTCCCCGATATTGAGCCAAAACTGGAGGAGCTGTAAGTCAATCGACGATTGAATCAATAAGCTCCTTGATCCGCTTGTGTCACAAGCTGACAAACGAAAACCAGCGGCCTGGAGTCTCACGATTCCAGCTCAGGTTCCCCTCGTTACACAGTCCCAACAATCCACCATGTCCCCACTGGTAGATACATCATGAACTCACCCGCCATCGCCGAATTTCTCGAGTCAGTCTATCCAGACCCTCCACTCCCCTTGAGCTCTGAGCTCGGTCGCGAGATTGAAACCAAGGCCCGCGGCGCCGTCGGTCCTGCATTCCGCATCTCCGTCACACCACGCGAGAACCTCATCCTGTCGCCACGAGCTCAAGGGTATTTCCGAGCCAAGAATGAAGCTCGAATGGGATGTAAGCTGGAAGACTTGATGGACCCAGAGAAAGAGGAGAAGACCTGGCAAGGCGTTGCCGACAAGATGAGCGAGCTGAGTGATTTGATGTTGACGAACAAGGACAAAGGGCCATTCCTACTGGGTGAGAAACCGAGTTACACTGATTTCTTCATCGCTGCCTCGCTCCAATCGGCGAGAACTATTGATGAAGAGATCTTTCAGCGCTGTGCTATATATCCTGGTTTTAAGGCAATTTACGAGGCTTGCGTTCCTTGGATGCAGAAGAAGGATTAATAGTCCAAGCTTGTAAAATCTTAATAAGATAAACTTAATTTAAAATATTTAGTATTATTTTTATAGTATTATTTTTATAGTATTATTTTTATAGTATTATTTTTATAGTATTATTTTTATAGTATTATTTTTATAGTATTATTTTTATAGTATTATTCTTATAGTATTATTTTTATAGTATTATTTTTATAGTATTTTTTTAATAGTATTATTTTAATAGTATTATATAAATAGTATTGTTTTAACAGTATTATATAGATAGTAATATTTTAATAGTAGTACTTATATAACTACCTCCTTTTAGCTACTTTACTTAAATAGGTACTTGTTTACTGGCGTAATAGCATCCCTGCCCTCTAGAACCGCTATAACATTCTCTATAGCCAGCCTCTCAAACCCAATCGACGTATCAAGTGCACCACCAGCAGTATGACACGTCAAAGTCGCATTCCTCATCTTCTTCAACCTCGGATTCGGTCTTGGCTCATCCTCAAATACATCCAAGCCAACGGCAACCAAATGTCCTGAATCCATAGCGTCAGCCACAGCCTCTTCGTCTACCAAACTCCCACGCGCAACATTCACCAGCCGTGATCCTTTTTTCATCTTCGAAATTTCCTCCCGACCGAGGATCTTCTTCCCGCCTGCGCCTGGTGCAGCTATGACGATGCAGTCGGCGATGGCGAGCATGTCTTCTAGCTTGGGGTAGTTTGTTGCTTCGATAGCTGCTTCTTGCTCTGGGGATTTGGGGAAGGGGTCGTAATATGCAATGCGCATACCGAGAGCCTTGTAAGTCTTGAGAGCAATCTGGTAGCCAATGTTTCCAAGACCAATCACCCCCAGCGTATGACCGCGAGGGTTGAATGCTGTAAGTTGCGTATGAGCATGTGCATCTCGAAATTCCTCTTCACTGCCTCTCGCAGCCATATTACTCCACTGCATATTCCTAAAGACAGAGATAATATGGTAAAGGGCCATGTCAGAAACAGCCTCTGTCGAAGCAGCTGCTCCGTTGCAATAGAGGATACCGTTTTCGGCCATGATGTCAACGTCAGCCCAGTCATATCCAGCACCAGCTGATGCGTAGACCTTCATGGATATGGGCAGGAGTGGAATCAGCTCTTTGTCCCAGCGTCCCATCTCCCCGCCTGTGACCCAAAAGGGCCGCATGACAGCTTGAAAATCGCCCCATTTGTTCTGGCGGAGAGCTTCGAGGAAAGGACCTCGTTGGCGTTCTTCCGCTGAGGGGCGGATGATGGTGAATTTGGACTCGAGTTGCTTGTAGAGATCATGGTTGTACTTGATTGGGTCTCCGATATGGAGGATTATAGGCTTATCGGCTGAAGGCATGGTGAGATCTGAAGACTCAATGTCTGAAGGTTGGGATATGGTGCTAAAGAGTCTTCCCGTGTTTTGTCAAAGAAGGTATATAAACGACACCAACACAAGAAGGTAACAGTCATCTGTGGGTCAAAGTCGATCTTCGCTCCGAGCTCTCCATATTCCCCGCGTCTCACTTCCCACTATCTCCTCCCGTGCAAGTCGGATGTCGCCATTACTACATGACCATCACCAATACAAAGCGTTCATCTCGTCGGCTCGGCTACACGCGACAAACGGCCCTTCTAGTGCATCTCACTCATCGGATAACGGCTCGGAATGTTCTTGGATTGGTTCGAGTCGAAGATCTACATGATTCATGGGGTTACGTTGCAAGGTTTATTTCCCCGCTTGTCTTGGTTTCCCCAGACTATCTCCCCCATACCCCAGGTTCTAGTCATAGAAATCTCGGCAAGAAATGCGAAGGCTAGTCTGGGCAGATTGAACAGGTCAATAAATATACCTGAAGAGATCTCTCAATTGCGTTATTTATCAGCGTAATTTTGTAATCATTTTATTACCAGTTGTCTGTCATCATGGCTGATGTCAAAGAGACAGGCGAGGAACTCCATCTGGAGACTCTTGGTGGAGAGACAGCTCACATCGAGGACCGCGGCACCAAAGAGAAAGCTCTCGTTCGAAGAATCGACAAGAGAATGATGCCACTGATGATGCTTCTCTGTGAGTACTGACTGCCTGGATCACATCAACAACAGCTGACATGTCCTTTGAAGATATTCTCAATTACCTTGACAGAAATAACATCGCGACCGCCCGTCTTGGTAATTTTGAAGAAGACATCGGTCTTGTGGCCGAGCAGTACAACACCGTCATCAGCATCTTTTTCGTGGGTTACATCCTGACTCAGGTACCCACTAACATGATCCTA